ACACACACACACACACACACACACACACACACACACACACACACACACACACACCAAGAAAACCAAGTGGTTTCTTTTTGGGGGGGGAAATATGCCTACTGGGTAAAATTTGTGGAATTAATCAAGGCTGAAAATTTTAAACAGGAGAAACTCATAAGCATTTAATTTTTCCCAGAGTTTTCTTTTTAATACACTTATTTGTTTCACTTTTATTTCCAAATTATATAAAAGTCTCTCTGAGATATTCACTATACTTTATTTAAGCAGCATAAGCTCACAGTAGGAAAGTTGGGTACTTTTTCCTATTTCCACTGAGAAAATCTTTACTTCTTTCATATTTTACATGAGGGACAGGAAGGGGGAGCAATTGCACCCCTGAAAGATCTGCTGTCCACAAAAATTTCACTAGCCTGTTTTGGGGGTTAATTAACTCTGAATGGCAGAACTCTATTATGGAATTTAAGAGACTTACTCCCAGGGTTGAAATTATTGAAAAGTTCCAAGAAGAGATCACCAACTTGATTCGGCATCATTATTAAGGATAAAATTGCTCTCTGGTAACGGGGCAGTGTTTACCACCCCACCTTCTGCTTTTTCTTTCTTTTTTTTTTTTTTTTTAAGTTTTTGGGCTCTAAACCACAAAATAAAGTACCCTTATTATAATTAAGGCAAATTTTTTTCTGGCAGAAAAATTATCCCAGATATAAAAAGAGTTGGAAAATTATTGCTTTAATCAATAGAAATTATTCAAACACTGAAAAGAGCTACTCTAACCACAAAAAAAGAATATAGAAAACATAACTCTGAATTATAAAATATTGATATTTCAACATTTTCAAATATCAACCATTTGTGTTTGCTATGCAGACATTTTAAATATAGAATTTAATGTTTTGTGATCCTTAGAGTCTATAAGTAGCACAACAGATCTTAACTGGGGAATACATTGTAATAGAATTCCAAAAGAATAATCACCACAATTAACAAAGAAGAAAAGCTGAAAAGACCATTCATAGAAAACAGAAAGATGAAATAAATGACATAAAAAGAACTCACTTTAAATATGTGTTCTAAAAAAATTTTTTTTTATATCATGCTGATTCTCAGAGGTAGAGTATTTGTGCATTGCTGAAAACTGCTTTCACAAAAGGGATGTTTACCACAATATCTCTGCCTGCTGTTATCGATCACTCACAAACTACCAGCAGCAAGTGATGATTACCTCAAACACAGGGTTTTCTTCTTTTTGTCCAGTCTCAACATGAGAGACAGGCAGGCAGCAGCTAAGCACCTTGATTGGTACGAAGCCACAGAAAGGGTGGGGAGGGGATGCATCGCTGCCACCGCCTCCTTCACGTGAGTCCTGGAACTCGTTTTATCTGCTACAGCCCCACTCGCCTCGATGGAGGCTTAGCCTTTTCTGCCACTGAAGCTAGGCCACAAGAATTTCCCAGAAACTCTAGAATTTGAACCTGGGGCACAACTTGGCTATTCCCAATATAAAAGATCTTGCCAAAGCAGAACTGTCCCCCAAATTCATTGCTGCTTATAACGGTTATGGGCTCTAAGAAGGCAAGGCTGACAGTTGCAAAGCTGCACTTTTAATTATTGTGACCTTATTGTGAAATTGGAGTAGTTTCCTGCCGAGAGAAACTAATTCCTTTGGAAAATGGCAAAGACTCTAAGTCTACTAGGAATCCTTGGAAGTTGCAGCAAAATTTATTATTGCTGCATAGCAAAGTAGTCTTGATTTTTAAAAAAATAATTTATACAGTTTTAAACATAAATATAATAATTGATATAAATATTTTCATTTCTTTTTTTAATTTAGTTAAGTAAGGGCTTACTAAAAACAAAAACTACTTTGGGCAAAGTCATAAATATGGGCTTGGAGGCCAAATCCCAGCTTTGTCTCTTACTTGCTGTGCAAACTTGGGCAAGTTATTTACTATCTCTAAGCCACCAATTAATTCATCTATAAAACGAGAAGATTTGTGTGATGATAAATTGAGAAAATGTAGATAAAGGTACTGGCATAAAATAGGCACTTAGTAAATGGCAGTGATTTTTAAAATATAAAAAAGGTATATTGTTATATGTTATCATTAAGGAATCACGCGTATGCTGCTTAGATCATAGGAGTTAAAGTTGGGTGTTTGAAAGAAGTTCATTTACTTTGTAGTACTTTATGTGTCCATTCAATCACCATAACTGGGGATAAGTGGTGTAATGATCCAGGTGGAGTCTTTTGGGGCAGATGGGAGGCAAAAAATTAGAATGACAGCTAGTCTCAAGTACCCAGAAGTGCTACTCTCCAACTAAACCTGGAGGTACAGTTTGCAACTGGATCCCCAAGTCCTGGTTTTCACACATCACACATGCTGTGAATATTTTCTCTTAGGATAATTTCATACCAGGTATAACCACTTTCAAGATTTCTGTTCAAGAAATCCTGATCGGAAGAAATGAAATTTAGGAATGAGAAGGACCTTGTCGGTGGCTGGGTGATAGACATTGGGGAGGGTATGTGCTACGGTGAGCGCTGTGAATTCTGCAAGACTGTTGAATCACAGATCTGTACTTCTGAAACAAATAACGCAACATATTTTAAGAAAAAAGAAAAAGAAGAAGATAGCAGGAGAGGAAGAATGAAGGGGAGTAAGTCAGAGGGGGAGACGAACCAGGAGAGATGATGGACTCTGAAAAACAAACTGAGGGTTCTAGAGGGGAGGAGGGTAGGGGGATGGGTTCGCCTGGTGGTGGGTATTAAAGAGGGCACATTCTGCATGGAGCACTGGGTGTTATGAACAAACAATGAATCATGGAACACTGCATCAAAAACTAATGATGTAATATATGGTGATTAACATAACAATAAAAAATTTAAAAAAAATCTTTTACTTTGGGCTGTTTACCTGTATTATGGTAGTGACTTTCTAGAAGTATGTGTGTGCATACATACCTCAGAGGTTGGTGAAAAGTCTAAGTTAATATAAATCAATATAACTTGCCAGAAAAAAAAAATCAGGTAGGAAGTTATTTTACAAAAGAAAAAAAAATTATTTTTTTTTTTTTACAAATGAGAAAAGTGTATTATGAAAAGTACAATTTTGGTCTATTTATTCTATCTATATGATATATAGATTATACAGTTGAATATGGGATACCTATGGAGATTAACAAGTCTAAAGAGAAAACTTTAAATCTCAAATACAGTGCCTATATTTACTTGATGGGCTATGATAGGGACAAAAATAAACTTAAACCCCTGAATATACAAAACTTATTATCTTACACTTAAATAATTAAACTGAGTGATACACTTTCCAAGTACCTTTGTTGCTTAAGTGTGTAATTCAACATTTTTATTTTTATAATAACTATGATAATAGTGGTATCAATGGACTTAAAGCATACAAAAATAGTTGAATATATCTCTTAGATTAGAAGCATTATTTTTCAAGCATATCTCCAGTGTATTTTTAAGTATATCTCTGATTACAAAATGAATTTTTAAGTTTCATGAGGCAGTCTACGCTGACTCAAAAACTTTTTAGGGGGCAGGGGAGAGAGTTTAATACTTTTTCGTGCAATTATATGTGTTCCTCTAAATAAATTCACAGTCTTATATAGTATTCATATATTATAAATAATACCTCTCCTAAGCAAGCAGATTTAAATTATAATTTTAAGGGAAACAATACCATTTGAGCATATCTTTTAAAGATAAAAACAATCAAATAGGATAGGGTCACAGAAAAATGTGGAGGCTTTGCTTTGTTAATCAAAGGTAATGCTAACACTTTACTAAAAATAAATGATGTGGCAATGCCTATATTTATTTTCAAAATAAAAGTCATTTATTCTGTCACTATATTTTATTCCAGTGACTTTCTATATAATGGCATATGCTAAGTGATAAATGCAGATGTACTCTTTTTAAAGTGACAGACATTTCAAAGTGAACAAGAGTTTCGCAACCAACTAGCACTGAAAACTATATTTTAATGGTACAGAGGATTGAACTGTTTGGGTTTTCTGTAAGGTATTTACATTTTAACTTGACACATAGGAATGATGTTATTCTTATACATAAGACAAAACTCTTTGCAAAGTAACTTTAATTATTCTCTGTATACTTTGTTTTATATAACTTTTTGCTTTCCTAATGTTTGTCACAAAAGTAGACTGGAACAGTTTCAAGTCTATCCCATCATGAAAATATCAAAGTCCCCAATTCCAAATATCATTACATGAGACAAAATAAACTATACAAACTGATACTAGTAGGTCACTGATACAGCTACGAATGTTCTAACAACATGAGATGTATAATGACTTATAATTCCAAGTGTGAAAATTTTTATGCTTTTTTTTTTTTTTTTTTTTGCTTACGCACCTCAGGGACTGAAACTCCTGAAGTGGGCAGAGTCTGCTGAAAAAGAGAAGTTCATATTAAAGCTTAAAAAAACAAAAGTCAAACTGAAAACAAATGCCAATGAAGTTCTTATATCACTACTCTCCTGTGAAATAAGTGAATAAATATAAAATGCATTTCCTTGTCAGATTTTTCTGCTTAATTTCATTAAATAAATGAGTAAATATCTTTTCACAAAAAAAGGAATGCTACAATGAAGAGTGGATTAGATTGTGAATTACTTATCCAAAATGCAATTTCATCACCCAAAGCAGACTGATCAACATCCTTGGCCGGCTTCACAGACCTCTCTGAAACAACATGGATGTATTACATTTATATTTTGCAATAAGAACTCATCTCCAAGTCCCATTACCCTTCATAAACCATTCCTACTAATTTTTTAAGTTGCCCAATTACCCGTCCCACTTTTCAATTTTCCAGTCCAACTCTCATTCCTTCCTAAAAATACTCAGTGTCTTTTTCATGGAGGCATAGCTTATGGTGTTGGTTTTATTTTGTGATTTTTCTGGAAATAAGAAAAAATATTCCATTAGTATCAGTAAAAAGTAAAAATATTATTAAATACGTAGAAAAATTTTCCTTGAGAGTAATTAGAAAAAAACAAAAAAGATGAGGTTAAATACACTGAAGCTGGTCTTTGTGACAGTGCATCTTCAATTATCCACCACCCCTCCTTTTCTGAGTCACAGTGGGAAGCTTTTTTTCTGGCAAGAAACAGAAAAAAGGGTTACCAAATTCCAAAAGTGTATGTCCCAATGGACTCAGAACAAATTTGTAAAATTGTTGACAAATCACACGCATAGTACTAGCCAAAGTTTTCCTGGTTTTCCTGTGGTAGGTTGTGTGTGGCGAGGGGAAGTATGAAAGCTGAATGTGAAGCTAGGAGTTCTTAGACATTTGTGTGTCTCTGAAAAGGAGGGAGTGGTCAGCATTTTCATTTCCTCCCCAGGACTGAGCTATCTGAAGGCGACTCTAAATGGATGTCCAAGATGGGTCTGAACAATCTGAGAACACAGATATCAGTTGACTCCCTTATGCAGTCTACTGAGATTAATGAAGAAGCAGGCACCTTCATAGCGACTCATCACAGAGATGGACCAGAAAGATCTAATGCACCCAAAAGTGGATGAGAAGAAGGGGTCTAGGGCAGCCCTAGAGAAAATTAAAGTGTCCAAGAATGCAACTCCATTTTGAAGATATTTTTATAACATAGATAAAAAAAATGTTGCAGCTGCAGATTTTTCATCAAAAGAAGTCATCAAGTCTGGGAGGATGAACTCGGGTTAACTATCCCATTAACAGGAGAACCTTACAGAAGTAATTGCTATTTCTAAGATGGATTGAAAACAGATTTAATAGAACTTTCATTGAAAGCTTTCTGATTTCAGTAATATTCTGGACTTTGAGTCCAAGTCAGTCTACATAACACCTGGGGCAATGGGCAGAATGTGCTAGCTTCAATCTAGGTCACCTGAAATTTTTTGTCAGCTTTCCTATTTTTCTTTCTTAGCTCTTAGTTCAAGCTTATACCTCAATAAACATTTTAAGACATGAATGTTGTTCTTCCAACTTTATTATAGTATATAAATGCTTCTTCTCCCTCAAATCCAGATCAAGTGTCTTATCTTATGATTCCTTATCCTATCCTAGGCCATAAGCCCAGGAAAGTCCCAGAGGCTCTCAAGCAACCAACCTACGCCGTCCATCAAGCTGTCTCTACAGCATGAGTCACAGATGCCTTCGACTTTGGGAAGAATCTATGCTCACTGTACATACGTCCATACCAAAGCAGCACAATGGAAAGCCAGTGAAGATTAGAGTTGTCAAAATGGCTCAGAAAAACAGCCAAGTGTGATGCAAAAATTTCAAATAGATACTGTCCACCCCACTTCAACCACCAAAAAAAAAAAAAATCTACGAAAGACATTTTTGACATACTTTTAAGCATTTGAACATAGACAGGATAATGACTGATATTATGGAATTATTGTTAATATTCCTAGGTGTGATAATAGTATGGTAATTGTATAGAAAACTGTCCTTAATCTTAGAAGATACCTGCTGACATATTTAGAGATGTAGTGTTATACTATCTGCAATTTATTTGCAAAAGGTTGAATGCAATAAAATATATATTTCTGCATATATGATGGCAAAATAATAATGTAGGCTGGGGATATACTGGATTCCTATGGCTTGATGTCACAAAAAGCAAAATCCATGCCAACTAAGATAATGCCTTAAAAGGCATTCTCTCCCAAAAAGAGACCGTAGGATGAAATTAAACCCTGGCTGGCACTTTGCTACCACCTGTGTGGAGAACTGGTAATATACAGATATTCAGGTATATGGGCTTCTTCCTTCTTAAGGTAGTAGGGGTACTGGTAATCTACTGAGAGTGAGGAATGTCGGCAGAGAGATAGTGACATGAAGAAAGCAAGGAAATAGTAGAGAGTTTGCCACGACCTCTCTGAGAATGGGAAAGCAGTTGACAAAGAATGAGTAACAGAATCAAGCAAAATTCAGAGCGAGTGGGGCTAGAAGTCATAAATATGTAAGAAAACCACCAGCTCAGAGAACTTTCTCCAGCAACACTCAGACGTCTGAGAGCAACACTAAAAATTCACTCCAAGAATAGGAGTGATGAAACAATGTATATATATATATACGATTTTTAAATATCAAGGATGAGCAGAGTAAATGTTTTAGTTTTTTGAAAATTATCATGAGTATATAATTCTAAATGTAATATATTTTTAATCAGAATTAATACAGGAACTGTATATTTGTATTTAATCAAATGTGAGGTGTGACTACAGAGGAATGTGATTGATTTTATTTAATCAGTATCATTTTAATATTAAATAGAATACACAGTACAGATAATTAGTTTAAAAGATGCATTTGTCTTCAGGGCACTTATTAAGTTCAACTTAATATCAAAGAATTTTTAAAAATCCTATTATTCTAAAGTATTGAGATATCTCTTGTCTTTGTAGTTTCTAACATGTAATCATTTTAAATTGACAATTTAATCCAAATTGTCATAGGGCAAAGAAAAATCTTTTGTGGAGAGATTGTTGGGAGGTTTGAGTTAAAAATATAAGAGCATAGTAGTCACATTAAAAGGGTCTTTAGTTATTTCAAGACAAAAGTAAAATTGACAGAATTATATGCTATACCTATATAGGAATGTTTATTTTTTTGAAAAACTGCTTTTATGCTTATTGTCTCATTGAATCCTCCTTCTAAGCCAAGATATTCCACTTCTCAGACTGAGAAACTGAAAATCAAAAAGATCAGACAGCTAACCTAAGAAAATAAAGTTAATGACGGACTCCAAATATAGTAGTTCCCTGTCCTGGGCTCCATTTACTCAAACAACAAGTTCAATAAGAATTTCTTTTCTAACTTTCTTTCTCGCCATGTCTCTATTTTTTAAGTGATTTGAAAATCAAATTATTTTAAGACAGTGAACACTGGGAAGTATTTAGAGACCACAATATGCATTTGTTCTGCCTGAAAGAAGGGGCTTGAATATCAATATGGAGTAATTTAACACAGTAACTTCTAGTACAGAGGTAAATTGAAGTGGCCAAATAAAACTGTTCTAAATAGCTGCTTTCCTTATATGCAATTGGGTATCTCTGGCATCAAAAAAGAAGTGAGAGAAAGAAAAGCAAGTTTGGGAAAAGAACAATTGTCTTCCTAAAATTGTACCCGTCTGCCTGAAAGGGAGAAGTTGTTCTCTCACCTTGATGATAAAAATGTATCAAGGCCATCTCTACCCTATAGAAAGTAAACACATTTGATTTTGGTGAATTTTACTGTCACATTCCAGATTCATAATTTGTTTAAGCTTTTATGATTTTGCAGGTCCTTAAGTGTATACACCACACATTTGAACACAATACAAATTTTATTTTATTTTTTAAGGATTTTATTTATTCATTTGAGAGAGAGGGACAGAGAGAGACAGAGAGAGCACAAGCAGGAGGAGAGGGAGAGGGAGAAGTAGACTGCTGGCTGAGCTGGCAGCCAAACGTGGGGCTTGATCCCAGGACCTGGAGAGCATGATTCTAGCCAAAGGCAGAGCTTAACCAACTGAGCCACCCAGGTGCTCCACAAAACAAACTTTTAAAAGGAAGTGAGACTGGGGGCGCCTGGGTGGCTCAGTCGTTAAGCGTCTGCCTTCGACTCAGGTCAGGACCCCAGGGTCCTGGGATCTAGCCCCGCATCGGGCTCTCTGCTCAGCGGGAAGCCTGCTTCTCCCTCTCCCACTCCCCCTGCTTGTGTTCCCTCTCTTGCTGTGTCTCTCTCTCTCTGTCAAATAAATAAATAAATAATCTTTAAAAAAACGGAGGTGAGACAAATAATTTTTATGCTACAAATAATTTTTATAACCAATGATTATTTCAATGTATGGGGAGTCTTTCAATTAGAAGGATCATTAATTTTTTTTTCAGCAGCACTTTGACATACCTAATTAAAATGTAAATACCAAAAATAAAATATTTTAGAAGAACACATATGGGATGCCTGGGTGGCTCAGTCAGTTAAGCATCTGCCTTGGGCTCCGGTCATGATCCCAGGGTCCTGGGATGGAGTCCCACATCTCCTTGCTCAGCAGGGAGCCTGCTTTTCCCTCTGCCTGCCACTCCCCCTGCTTGTGTTCTCTCTCTCTCACTCTGACAAATAAATAAATTAAATCTTTAAAAAAAAGGAAGATACACATATTATAATCTTAATTCAGGGTCCCTTGACTAACCACTTCTCACTTGAGCCAAATTTTTAAGCCTGAACCAAATAAATTTAATGGCAAGAATATTTTTAATTGAGATCACTTCATTCCCCTTATAATTTTAATTGCTCACAAGAATGTCTATTCTTATTCTTGTAAATGTGATTGTTTACACATATTTGCAGAGTTTAGTTCAGAAGATTTTGCACAGAAGGGATTGTGAGGCCCCCTCCTTACTTGCTCCCCCAGTATG